AATCAAAATTGATGGTATCGTCAGCGAGTTTATTTCTTCTAATATCACTACTACACTGAGATGTGTAAAAACGCAACGGATAAATTCTCCTTCTTGGTCAAATTTAAAGTGTTATATTTTATATGTTTAGACCTATCTCTCGTGAATTTTTTAGCAAGCTGTATAATTATATCAACTTCAATCTTAAACTCAGTTTTTATAAACTTTAGTATTTGGCATATTATACAGGGTTAATCGAGGGGCTGTTTTTTACCTTAACTTTAAAACACCCTTAAAAGTAATAATTTCGTGTGTAACTTTTCCTAAAAATATAATTTTACGGTCAGAACCATGTCTCTTAAGCATTTTGTTTTTTGATCATGTCAATACATGCCTTGGTTAATCTTTAAGAGCGAAATGAACTTTGCCACCAACACCTATGCAATTTTCTCACTATCATTTCTTTGAAGTTATTTTCAATACACAGACATGGTGGATTATTGTGAACTATACATGTACTACTATGACGCGATCATGTTCGATGTTTGGGAAATGCTTGGTAGGAGGGTTAGAGATCGCTAAGCGGTACCCAGCTTCATTGCTAAATGGATCCCGCTTGATCCTTACAGAAGAATGGGAAAATATAACGTAATATGATATATGGCAGCCTCGATGACAGTATAAATGGACGTATACAGGCAGTTATAGCGGCCAAGGGAGGCAATACCAAAGTATTAGGGTATTTTTACAATTTCTTTTGTTTGTGTAATTTGAGTATTACAGATGTTTTCTTTAATATCGTTAGTTCTGCTATTGTTATAAATGTTCATTAAAACCAGGACTGTATCGTTAGTCCTTCAGGTTCTTTTTAAATTTAGTATAGAGTATCCAATGCAGCGTAATATAACGTTACTACAATAGTCACCAAAATCATCTCGTCATACTAAAAAATTACATCAAAACGTAATGATAATTCTTTGAAAAAATTGTAAATTGATCGTGACTGGTCTATTACGCTTTAAAATTAACCAAAGCATGTATTGACATGAATAAAACAAAATGCCTAGAAGTCATGGTTCTGATTGTAAAATTAGATTTTGTAAAAATTTACACACGAAATTATTGCACAGGGTGTTTTAAAGTTAGGCAAAAGACAACCCCCTCGATTACTCCTGTATAATAAGGGCCAAATACTCAAAGTTTATAAAAACTGAGTTTACGAATTAAGTTGATATAATTATATACAGCTTGCTAAAAAATCATAAAATAGGGCTAAAATGACAAATATATAACATTTTAAATTTGACAAAAATTTCTCCGTTGCGTTTTTACATCTGAGTGTAGATTGTTTGGGAAAGGGGAACTTAATCACCGCAACAAATTCCGATCGTAGCGCTTCAACGGCAGAAATCAGAAATTGTCAGTAGCCGCCGTCATGTTGATGGCATTAAACAATATCGAAATCGTGTTTTTTTTTTTTTTTTTAGTTTTTTAGTATTTTGCTAGTGCAGTTATTGAGACCATAAAACACTCAGGCACGAGGTTTGTGTGATGAACGCTGCACGCTGCTCTGTGTAAAAATAAGGAAAATGAAGTAGTGAATTAGGCGTCGTGTTGTGTTCCACAATTTTAAATGCTAATAAAATTGCCAAAAAAATGTTAACGTGTAGGAATGTTAACGTAAAGGAGAGCGTATTAGGGCGTTGCGTTGTAATTCGCAATAACTGAACTTTCCTGAATATTCAACTCTCCCGAAATGGGATTTTATAGCGCTCTACATACAGTGTGTCAATTTTAAAACTTCCGACCCTTAATATCTTTCTTGCAGTTAAAAATATGAAAAAATTGGAAAGACACCTCAATTTTATTTGTAAGGGGTACACTTTGAAACAATATTTTGGCCTTTTTTTCAACCCCTTAGGAGGGGTAGATGTCAACCTTACAATCTTAAATGGGAATGGGGGTCAAGTGGCACACCATTTTAAAGGGCGTTTAATTCTCTTTCCAGTGGTATCCTACTCTTTATTGTTTTATCCAGAGGTTTTGAATAATCGGGTTTCAAATGTGCAGAAACAATTAAACGTGTCAGATTTTGGTTTCTCAGGTTAGTGTTTACAAAAGTTATTGCAATGGATCTCCTTGTGGTACAAATGATTAGAAGATTAGGTTACACCACTTACGCCCTATCTTATAAGTTGTTCAAAATGTTGTCCATTTTCCCGTAAACAGTAATAAAGTCTATTTTCAAACACCTCCCTAACATCCGGAAAATTTCACTGGGAATTGACTGGCATTCTATTGTAATTGCCTTGCCTTTTAAGATCATCAATACCAGTAGATTGTGTTTTATAAACAATGGATTTAAGATGTCCCCCCAAAAAAAGTCTAAGTGATCTTGAAAGCCATTCAATTGGTCCCCTTCTGCCAATCCATGTACCTGCAAATCTCTCGTTTAACCACTGTCGGACTGCAAAAGTAATGAGCTCTGGAGCACCGTCCTGCTCGAATGTTAACAATTCCTCCTGTGAAACTGATTAGAGGTTGCCAAACGTTAATGTTTATGATGTTTTCTGTGTAATAGTATTCTTGAATTTCGACCTCTAGAAAAAATGTAATGGCTAATGGTCCATGTTGCCACCTAACCTTCTAATCATTTGTACTACAAGGAGATCCACTGCAATAATTTTTGTGTAAACACTAGCCTGAAACCCAAATCTCAATGCAGGCATGCTTAATTGTTTCTGCAACTTTTAAACAAACGCGATTATTAGAAAATCTATGGACAAAAAGCAACAAAGCAGGATACGGCTGAAAAGAGAATTAAATGTCCTTTAAAACGATGTGCCACTTGACCCCCATTCCCATTTAAGATTGTAATGGCGGGGACATCTACCCCTCTAAGGGGCTGGGTTGAAAGAAAAGGCTAAAAAATATTCATTTAAAGTGTCCCCCTTACCAATAAAATTGACGTGTTTTTTTTTTTTTTTTTTCATATTTTTTTAACTGCAAGAAAGAAGATATTATAGGGAAGTTTTAAATTGACACACTGTATGTAGCGTTTCTTACACTGATTTGATCAAAAGCAAAAATATTCAAGCAGTCTTGACGAAACAAGTGAGTAAACAAAGTGTTCGTTACATAGTCAAAAAATTAAACAGACATACTAGGAGAGGATAAAATATAATTGCAATATTAATGGTATATACTCTTTTAACTTAACCAGGTGATTACATATGTTTTATTAACATCTTCTGAAATTATAATTATGCACCTTTAAAAAAATTCCTTATAGCCGAAATAGTCTCAATTTTGACTCCACTGGCAAAACCGTTGATTAAAACTATGCTCGCAACTGTAGTTGAACTCATCTAAAAAGTTTTTTTTAACTAGAATAATAAAATTATAATACAAGTTAGACCTTCTGAGAGAACAACGTATCAGGTCATTTACTTTTTTATTTTTATTTTTAGAAGGTTTACAAATTGTTTTGCATTCCTAACACTTTAGAATAATTAAATAATAATAAAAAAATAGTTTTAATGTAATAAAACATGAATGGTTGTCGTCTTGGGTCACTCAGTGATAAGTTGTTCTGATGTTTCCCCACTTTCCTCACAGAACCTTAGCAATTTTTACTGTTGTTTCTTAGCTTCAATATAGTGTGGTCTACATTAAGGAGACAGTGTCATGTTAAAAACCCTGGACAATTGAAGATTGTTCTTACATAAACCAAAGAAAATCCTTTGATTTTCCTCGGTCATAAGCTCCCATGAACTTTCTGGATTCTCTTTTAGTCTGTTGAAGGGATTCCCATTCCAGGTTACGGATGTAGTCTTCCAGGTGTTTGAGTTCTGCTTTAAGTTTGTTTACACTAGGGAAGCACAAATGGTCTCTGGTTCAAAGAAGTGAAGAGTGTCTTTGCCCTTTCAGGCTAGATCGTTTGCGTTTCTTTAAAATATCACGTTTGGAACGCCAATTGATGTTCACTGCAGATCAGTGATATTCTAGACATTATAGAATATAAATTCAACGGAAAATAAAGAGGAAACATTTTATTCAAATCTAAAAAGATATTGAAATATACAGGGTGATTCCTGTAAGTTGGTCATGCTTTCGGGGAATGATGGGAGACGTTGAAATATTAATTTTGATATAGCACACTATGGGTCGGAAATGCCTATTACGCAAGATACAGGGTGTTAAAGTTTTTCAAAAATTAAAGATATTCTTTAGTAGTTTTTTAACAGTTGAAGGTATCGTTATAAAATTCCATTATAGGAGTCCACCTAACAGAGAGCACTTTTAAAATGTAAAAATAAAAGTTTTATTTGTTTCAACCAGTGGCGTAGATGTGGAACGTCTAGTTATAATAATTCGCTGTATTTAAGATTCTCATTAAAAAATGTATTTATTTTTAAATTGTGACAAAATGGTGTTAGATAATTAAGAAAGTTGCAAGAGATATTTTTGTTTGGAAATAGAAGACAAGAAAAAAACTACAAATTTTATTTTTTATCAGTGGCGTACTATTTTTTGCAAAAATTACCCAATGCATATCACATCTACGCCACTGGTTGAAACTAAAATCTCTTCTTTTTACATTTAAAGTGTCTCTGTTAAGTAGACTCCTATAATTAAATTTTATAACGATACCTTCAACTGTAAAAACTATTAAAGAATATCTTTAATTTTTCAAAACTTTAATACCCTGTATCTTGCGTAAGAGGTATTTCCGACCCATAGTGTGCTATATCAAAATTCATATTTCGACGTCCCCTAACATTCCCCGAAAGTATTTGGGCTAACTTCATATAGGAATCAATTTTATAGAAATTGTTGGGAATCAAATGTAAACAAAAATAATGAAAAGAAATCACAACAACTGTCAAACCTATCAAACCACAATAATTGAAACAATTCTACTGTAAAAAAATTATAAAATATTTTGATATTTGTAGGAAGAACAATCAAAGAATTATGAAAACCGTTTTTAACAATTTCATTTAATTTTATTTTTATATTATGGTTCAGTATCTCCCAGAACATCATGGGGTAAACTAGTAACTATCATCTATGCATTGATAGGCATCCCTTTAATGTTACTCTACTTATCCACCACCGGGGATGTTCTTGCTAGAAGCTTTCGTCGATTGTATGGTAAACTATGTGGCAGGTAAATGGTCTATTTGTATTGATTCTTAACAAACTCCTGTTTTTAACAAACGATGTGTTTAATGAAACATCAGTTTTAAACTATATAAACTATAAAGAGTTGATGTACCATTGGATAAATAAATCACTTTTTTTATCCAATGGTACATAGGAAATACATAGGGAGTTTCATTTCTTAGTGAATTTAGTATATTGCATTTATTAATCTTCCGGTATAGTTGAATTATCGTTGCTAGTAGGAACTTGGTTTGTCACTAGTGTACTATTGCATTAATTGACACATTTATAAATTGATTTATTAATATAAAAAAAAAAACAACCTAACCTAACCAATGACAAAAAACGCCTTCGCACGAATTCGGCACACGTTCGAGTACGTTTCCATTAAAAGAAGAAAGTATTAAAAAAGCTGAAGAAGCACGACAAGCTTTACTGACACCAAATAGTGAATCCATTTACCAAAAGGAATCTAAAAAATACCTTCAGTGACTTGAACAGAAAAATACTGTAGCAGTCGGTTATCGATGAAACTGTTCTCTTGTTAATTTATTATATGTTACATTAATGATGTAAATAAATAAAATTAGAGTAGTTAGATGAGTGTCCAATTTCAATTTCCATTATTATTCAAAATCTATTGTATTTCGTGCTTGTTAACTATAAAAGATAAAGGAATTTTTCATAAATCTAATTATGCTAATATATCCCAAGGGCGTTATGACTAGGGAATGCAATCCCGCAAATGCTGGATCCCGCAAATGATCTGAGATTCCTCGGGATCGAAGTTGCGGGATTTATCGTGCGGGATCCGCGGGATTGACACATTACTACTGGGTAACCAAATCGATCTCAATCAAGGTCAAACCCCTTCGTTCCGGGCCGATGAGTCAATGCTCGGAACCCGGGGGACCCATTTAACTAGTACTTGTGAACAATTTCATCAAATAAACTGCCAGACATAATTATCGGGACAAGCAAAATTTTATGGTAAATTTAAAGTTGAATATCTCTTGAACTAAAAAAGATTTTGGGATGTGGTTTGGACCCTATATTTTAGATGCATCTATTGTGATTAAGATGCTATGTGGTTTCTGAAAATATATTGCTAAAATTCCTCGTATACAGGGTGTTTTATAAGAGAGTGAAAATTTGGTCAAGAATCTTTTACCGCAAATTTACGAGTTTTAAAAATCGAAAAGTTTTACCAAGTACGACTAATCCGTTGTATTGAAATTAGAAAAACAATTTGATCGGTTTTTAATTTTGTTTTAAGGAAAATTGATTTTTTCGAAAAGGGTGCAAAAGCTTTGTACATTCTGCATATGCCAAAAAATTATGAGTGCATATAATTGATATAGAGTGTATCTAAAAGCAGATAACTAACACAAGTTAAAAGAAACTTCAACATCAGAATAATATTTTTATTTATAAAATAAGTAGATAAATTATAATAAAATTTAAGTTTACCCTGTATAAATCGGTATTATAATTTAAGTATATTATAACTTCTGTACAACTAGTTTAAGATACACGCTATATCGATATATTGTGGGCCTGGGCAAAATGTACAATGCCTTTTGTACCATTTAGAACCAAATGTATGACTATTGTTTACAGTCCCGCAATTTTGCGGATCCGCGGGATTGATTGTTTTAATCCCGCGGGCTTGCGGGATTGAGATTTTGCTGCGGGATTGTATCTCCTGAGTTATGACTCTATTTATGGTTAACGTAACCAAGACGAGATAAGCTTATATTAATTCAATAAGAAATAAAATTATTTAATTTTATTTGCAGCAAGACAAACCCACAAATTCCACAACAACAAATACAACAAAGATGTGCATGCAGCAACACTGTACGAGTACCTGTAACGCTATGTCTGGTGATAGTTTTGGCCTATATATGTTCCGGTGCGATGCTGTTTCATCGACTGGAGAACTGGTCGTTATTAGAAGGTACGATATACCGGGTGTTTTTCAAAAGCGGCTCTTCCTTATATTTTTTTTTTATTTTTTCAGTTAATAAATCGAGATTTGGTGTGTCTTATGACATAAATTAAGAATGATTGACGTAATCAATTAATTGTTTTCGGTCGCTTCCTGTTTCACCGGAAACGACTACGACTTTTGATTTTTAAATGGCACCCTCGGTATTTTCTTACTCTATTATCTGGATAGACTTTTTCGAAATATGCTAGTAAGCCACCCCCGATCCTCTCTTTGAAAAAAATTGAGATATGATTAAAAATAAAATTATATATTGTTAAAAATATGATTTGGCCATCAGGTAGAAGACACGAAAACATTAGACGATCAAATTCCATTTTCCAAGCATCCTTGATTAAAATTAGTGTTTTTGACAGAGCTATGGCACTCTAGATTGAAATTTTAAAATACAATTGAATGGGTGGCTGCAATAACCAGAGAGCTCCATTTTAATAAATTTGTGGGAAATCGAAAAGGAGCTGCTCGGTTCTTTAGCTTTGAAACCCAGAGGAAGTCAGCTACAACTAACATCGCCATTTATGTACAGGGTGGACCATTTTGGTTGTTTCTATAAGGTATCTAGGAAACCGTGTGAGAAATATTAAAATTCCTTTATACTCAGTTCGGGTTCTTTTTGAAAAATTCAATGGCACAAACGGATCGTGGCTATCTTGATCGGTTTCTAAGCTGCTGTGGGACTTCAGATTTCAGAAAATTCCCTTTTCAAGGTGTTCGATAGGTTGTTTATTTCAGCAACCACGGAAAATGAATTATACATTCTGAAGGCACTTTTCTCGTGTAGAATACAGTGGCGTAGCTGTCAGACTTTTCGAAAAATATTTTTAAGATATTAACTATACTTATGTTTTTTTTTAAATAGAACCCCCATATTTTTAAATTTTCTTATTGCTTTGGTATGGGCTTCTCGAAAATATATATAACACTCTATATTTATTTTCACTCATTAACCCCTTAACATTTCAAATTTTTCTAAAAATATCCAATTTAGTAGATAGTAGACCGTAGTAGTGATGGTAAACCGGAAAATTGGGAACAGTTGTGGCGCGGTTCTACCCAGGCAGAAAGCATGTCCTTCTAGACTGTCCTAGACAAAAAATCTGAATATTTCTATATGATTTCTGTCAATTTCTGCTACTGAACATTTTTATGCACGTCGGCGTCCTCTTCCTTTGTCTGTGTGTCAGCGTCAGCTCCCGAGGCCCCTGGCAAGGTCGGGCGCCATTTTAATTTTGCCGTTTAGATTTGATTGAAGTTTGTTTCGATATTTTGGCTGAAATTTATGGGTACAAAGTGATGTTTTTGATATAAAGTTCCCTGTTAACACTTTAATAAAGTATATATGATATTAATTACACGAAGAAAATGATGAAATCGACGTTTCTGCGTGTAGTAGGTATGGGCCATACTATATGTAAAAATAGGTAATATATTAACTGTTTTATATTTTTTTAGCTTTAAACCCAAGGATCTTGGGATATTCTTTGCCAAGGATTTTCCGTATCTCTACTTTAAAGACTGATCGGTGATTTTGAGCAATTGAAAGCAAGTTATACAAGGTAAATTATGATTATTGAACCATTATTAGCCTACATTAATCTACAAGATGAATAGAAATGTGTAATTACATACCACATAGGTACCTATTATATTTCTCATAGTAATAATGCTATAAATCTATGTATGTAGATTATTTTTAAAATACAAATGAGGTACAATTAGATGTATATGTATTATATTTTTTATTCATTTTATTTTCATTCTAGTCCTGTTTGATTTAATTCACAAAAGTCTTATGTATGTACCTATATTTCTATGTTTTTTATATATTTTTTTGATTCCAGGGTTTGCGTGGGTTCCTGGTTGCCTTTTTCCTGTTTCCAGTTATTTAGTTTTATGCCCGTGAAGCTGTGGAAACATTTATTTATCTTCAAGTTTCTGTAACTCAATGCACTGTTACTTTACTAATTCACTTTAACACAGCATCTGTGATATTATTTCAAAATATTTGATTTTGATACAGTAGTTTTATTGTGATTTTAGCCTTTTAATTCAGGTTGATTTGCATATTTACATTGCTCTAAATTCCAAATAAATATTTTGAGTAATTTTGGTTGCATTATTTACCACTAGAAAGAGTAAAAAGTATAATAACTCTCATTTAAACCTCCTGAACAGCCCGCCATTAAAACCGGAAACGGAAATAAATTTTACAAAATTGAAATTGTCATGTCTATGTCATGTCAGATATCCCAGCCGCCATATCTGAAAATTAGTTACCCAGGCAGCCACGCTGTTTCCATAATTTAACATTGACTTGACACTTCTTCTTGTATTTATTATTTTATGGTAGACCGCGCCGAGTAACAAAGTGAACGGTTGTCATGGTGATCGGAACATACCTTTGATGGATCCGGTACATTTAATTTCAACAGATTAGCGGTAAGTTATTTTAACACAAAAATGAGTAAATTTGAAAATTTTGAAAATATATTTTATGTTGATAATGTTATATTGATAATTGAATATAGCAATGGCAGTTGATTTATATTTTGTGCGGTATTCAGAGGACACTGTTATTTTAAAGGTTAGAAGAGTTGTTTATTGTTTTGTTATCTCTGTCAAAACCGCGTCGGAAAAATTATCAGAAAGAAGATGAAGAAAAATCAATATATTAATGTCCTCGGAGCCGAATACATGAATTAGCAATTAAATAAAATCGAACAAATGCGAAGCAAATAAAAAACAAGTGTGACAGAAACAAAAGAACATATTTTAATGGTATAAACTCTGGTAGAGGTTACTCTAATCGGGTTTCTATGCTAATATAAAAAAATAAAACACAAGACTTAATTAAATGTCTGGGACTGCTGCCCATTATTATCTAGACATAGTTGGTACCGTCTCTGCACGCCGCCGCTAACAGCATTTCAATAGCTCTACTTGATGTTGTTGGATCTAGTGTTACGGCTCCGAGGACATTAATATATTGATTTTATTCATCTACTTTCTGATAATTTTTCGGACGCGGTTTTTGAAAAGATCCAAAATTGATTATAAACTATCTTCTAACCTTTTTTAAAATGGTTGGTTTTATTGCTCGCGGCCTGGATACCGCCTCAAAAATATAAATCCTCAGCTGCCATTTTGCTTATGTTTGTTAGACTCGATATAACATTCTAACATATGGCAGCATTTCAAAATTCTCAAATTTACTCATTTTTTATTATTTAAAATACACACACTTCAACCTGTTGAAATGAAATGTCCCGCATCCATCAAAAGTATGTTCCAATCACCATGACAAGTGTTTACTTTGTTACCGGCGCGGCCTACTGTCTAGTAAGTGGATATTTTAAGAAAATTTGAAAAAAAAAAAAAAAAAAAAAAAATAAATATAAAGTGTTATATATTTTCGAGAAGCCCATGCCAAGCTGAATAAGAAAATTTAAAAATATACAGGGGGTTCTATTTAAAAAAATATAGTGTTGAGCTATTTTGAAACGCACCCGATATATCCAAATATATAATGGAAATAAATTTCTTTCAGTTTTTAGGCATATAATAAAATTATATAAGAGTTTCTTGCCTTGAACCGCTAATTTTGTGAAACGACCCAAGCTCACCTGATGATGGGGTAGGGCCCCGAAGCCGGTAGCGAGAGCAGGTTGATCCACATTATGACGAGCACAGCGTGGAATATTAATTTCTATATTAGCCGTTCAAGGCAAGAAACTCTTATATAATTTTATGATATATCCAAATATAGATATGCTTTTATTTATTGGCATCCTAGCTATTATTAGCTTATGTTATTAATATTACCATATATAAACAGGTCACGAACTAAGTTAAATTAAATTTAACACAATAAACAAGCCATGTTAATGTTATTAAAGCATCATTTTCGGACCCATAATTTAGCTTATTCCGAATGAGACATAATAAAGCATGAAAATCTCGCAAAGTGAACTGGAACAGTCATTAAAACATTAAACCCTAATTCTACAATTTCTCTCTATTAATTTTGATTAACGTAACAATTATTTCTATCTCTCGAAAACATTCATTTGTCCGAAAAGACCTTTCTCAAATCTCTAAGAAGTTCCTCTAAAAAGGAATGACAAATAATCAAATTATTTGGATCGGTTTAAGGAAGTTTGGAACTGAATAGGCATTGAAGATTCTATGCGTTATTGTATTCCAGAGGGTATTGTCGAATTTTATTCTAAATGTCTTCAACAGCAATAAATTCTTTATTTATTGTAGAGATAAGACCAGTTAAAACGATAATACAATAAGTTTCTTTATGCTACTCGATTTGTAAAGTTAATTTAAGTAATGAAAAGATTTCAAACATTTGTACAATAGATAACGATTTTATCATAACATGTTTGGCTGTGATTCACCATAAGTAATTATAGAGTGTGAATCAGTACTTTTAAAGTGAAACTTCTTTACTAGCAATGGAAGTAAAAATTCAAGGCCGTGGTGTATCAAGGGTATATCACGGCCTTGAATTGACACGATATGACCTTGATCATGCCTTGATGCACAACCCAGGGGGGTGACAGTGAAATAGGAAAATTGGAAACAGTCATTAGTGTCATTCCTGTCATCTCCTGACGACAAGTATGGCCGCCTAGACAAGGACAGCAATGTTTCTGTCTAACTATTGTCTAACTTCACAGTTTAGAATTGACAGATTTGTTCTAGAACAAATTTCGACGCCATTTTCATTTTCTCCGTGTAGTTTTGTTTTGTAAATTCAATTTGATATTTCGGCTAAAATTTATAAATACCTATAAAGGTAATAAAGCATATAAAATATATATTACATGAAAAATCCTGGAGAAAAAGACATTTCTGCAGTACTAGGTATGTCCCATGTATATTAAAAATAGGTAGAAAATAAACACTATTTCTATATTTTTTAGATGCAAGAAAATTAGGAAGAAAATTTTGTTATATGTTCATGATCGGCGATTTTTTTGAAAATGTAAACAATTTACAGAAAGGTAAGATCATTTTTAACTATAGCCAGCATTAGTTATCTCCAGTATGTGCGATTTATTGTCAATAATACAATAAATCTGTCTGATACAATCTGATTGTTATGCGATTAAAAGTCTCTTTTTGCTTCTTTTGGATTTATAAACCAGGTCTCTTTGGGAATAATGGAGCTTTTTTTAAATAGTATACTTATATTTTTCTGTTTTCAGGTTTGGTTTGCTTTGGTATAAGGCTCCCGTTTTCATGTTCCTGCCCCCGTTATCTGTTTCTGAAGGCTGCGAATACGTGTATTTATTTACAAATTACTGTAAGTCATGCTTATACCTTACTAATTTACGTTAAAACTGCATATAATTAAGTTATTGATATAGAAATCATTCAATTCTTTATTTTTTATATTTATTTAGTCACGTTGTCTCATATTTCAAATAAATATGTTTGAATAAATTTTTATTTTGTTTTATTTATGATAAGAGTACAAAATACATTTAAACTGAAAGAGGTACCCGCCATTAAATAACCGGAAACGGAAATAAAGATGAAGACATCGTGTCAACCTGTCAATTGAAAATTAGTTCTCCAGACGACAACGAAGGCTTTCGGTGGCGTATCGTGTTTCCACAATTTAACACAGAGTTGACACTTCTTTCTAGTTCATTATTTTATGGCACAACCTAGCGAAAAAAAAAGTGACAAGGATCGCGCAAACACCAAAAAACATTTGATTTAAAACTAAGAAAAGCATTATAATAAACTTGATACTAGGAAATGCAATCCCGCAAATGCTCGATCCCGCAAATGCGGGATCCCTCTAAGATTCCGCGGGATCAAAGTTGCGGGATTCACCGTGCGTAATCTGCGGTATCGACACATTACTACTGTGTAACCGAATCGATCTCAATCAAGATCAAACCGCTACGTTCCGGGCCGATGCATCGACGCTCGGAACCCTGGGGATTCCCCTTACGGCTTGGCCATTAAAAATAAGTGAAACAAACAGGTTAGTTGGTAGATTTCTTTCTGGCGTTTAACTAGTACTTGTGGACAATTTCGTCAAATAAACCGCCGGACATAATTATCGAGACAAGCAAAATTTTAGAGTAAATTTAAAGTTGAATATCTCTTGAAGTAAAAAAGATTTTTGGATGCGGTTTGGACCAGGTTTTAAATGCATCTATTGTGATTAAGATGCTATGTGGTTTTCGAAAATATATTTAGTGAATTCTCGTATACAGGGTGTTTTATAAGAGTGTGAAAATTTGGTTAAGAATCTTTTTTACCGCAAATTTACAATTTTTAAAAAATCGATATTTTTACCAAGTACGACTAATCTGGCATTTTCAGCTCGCATTTTCAGTGGAGGACATCGTCATATTTATTTTAAACCAATAAGCAATGAGAATATTCTTATATAATTTAACAAAATGACTGGAAACCACTATAAATACAAATTGTTGGTTAGGTTCAAATTTTTTCTTTTTTTAAATAAATTTAAGCGTTAACTATATTAGGCATTTGGGCAACGGCCCAGCTACGTCGAAACATCGGTTCCCATTAGAACACCGAAGTTAAGCGACGGAAGGCGATGCTAGTGGATGGACGGGTGACCGGTTCGAAACTTTGCATCGTGCTGTTGTCCAAGGGAAAAGTGTAAAATCTATTGATACACACTGCTCATTCACGCCGGTTCAAGGCCGGATGAGATCCGATATCTCGTGAGTAAAGTTAATTTAGACACTTCCTAAGTCGGTAGGCCATTGACCATGATATGGCCGAGGACCGCGGTTCGGATTCCGCGTAAACAAAGTAGGTCCCGTCCAGTTTAGCCATTGCAGCAGAAAGGAGACGTTAACTTGAACCTCACACATATTAGGCATTTGCATAAAAGTGTATATTTTGGGTGGTATTTCACAAAATTTGCAGGCTATTTGGGAAACAGAAAATGTACCGATTACAGAAATAAGTTGAAAATAACATTTGTATTAAAGCATTATATGTCACTTTATCAAACATGTCCTTCAAATCCTCCAATTTAATAGCTGTTAGTAAGAAGTTTCACTTCAAATATGCGCACATAGAGCACACTCATTTTTTTAACTCGCACGTTAATTTAATTAATTATAGGGACAGTAAATGTTTTTTGGGTTGTTTGTATATTTAAAGAGACATATTAAATAATTAGTTCTTATTCAAAGAATTTAGAAATCTGAATACTTAATAGTCATCAACATTTAATAAAATAGAAAATTTAAAGTCTCAAGATCAGTTTAATACAAATTATTGTTACTATTACTATTATATTTTTAGAGTTATTTTAGGTAACACCGAGAGTAACACAGTTTCAACCAGAATATTTTATTATAATATATCTGGATATGATTCGCATTTCGTATTTCACTCATCGTTTAAGTGTAGAGCAACAATATTTTGATTCGGTGCTAAACGTTTACTTATTTAAAAAAAGTTTACAGTCCAAACACAAATTCGAAGAAAAATTATTAGTTACAAACTAAAACATGATTTTGTATTAACATTTTTATGTTTCAGGAAGTTACTTCTGCTTTACCAGTTTAGGCACAATAGGGTTTGGAGACCTACTTCCTGGTCAAAAAGCTGACGAGGTGTCCCTTTGCGCATGCTCGGCTTACATTTTGACTGGAATGGCCCTAGTAGCTATGTGTTTCAGTCTGGTCCAGGATGAAGTAATAGCGTTGTTAAGGTAAATGATACTTAATTAATAACTAATTGGATAATAATCGGTGATTCAACAGACTGCATAGTACTCTGAAACATTTAAAATATGATTTTTGTTATGTTTTTGAGGTATATCGGAGCTTCGTGTTCGAAGAACACTCCTAAAATTAAAAACGACGAAGAGGCTGTGACATCGCTGCCTGGTTCTTGACAACGACCTACGACGGAGGGTGCGGCTCCGTCAAAAATGGCAGGCAGAAGATCACCGCCAGTCCTACATCATAACAGCCTACCTAGAAAAAGTAATTTCCACAGAAACACGCCGGCGAGAAGATCTGCTGCCGGTTATGGTAAGAATTGTATTATCTAATTATCATAGGAATCATAATTAGATATAGAATGTAAATTTGATATCAATTAAACTTTTAGTGACGCAATCGAAGGCGCGATTTTTAAATTCATTGTTGCCAACCATGAACATATTTCGGCGCCGGGCTGACTAACTTGAATTTAAATTTCGCGCTGGAGATTCAGGTGGTAGCTCTGATGTAAACAATATCAAGTTGTCAGGTTTATTTATTTTATTTCCTAATATTTTCATTCGTTTTTATTTAGTTTTTGGTTTAAATAAATAGTGTTGTCATACTTTAAGCTTAAAAATATTTACTAGCAGACCTCGCAGTCGAACATTGTTCTTTTTAGAACCCCTTTTAGTGCGAAGTGTACAAGGAGGCTTGATAGTCGTAAAAAACTCATCACAACTATATTAGAATATTTTGAACGGGAAAACGGTAGTTATGGCCCTTTATGTCGTTTAAGTTCTGTTAAAAACGTGAGTTTTGTTGATGTAAATAATAACTGTTTATAATACTTATAATTAATTTATTTTTGTTTCCTAAAATATTTTGATTAAAAGAAAATATATAAAAGTGGGCAACTCTGTGCCGGTAAAACTTAATCACGTGACTAAAAGTTTATTTGGTATGAAGTGTAGAATTTTATACCTTAAAAGTTGGTTAATTAATGTTTAATCTTAATTTTTTAAAGCAGTATCTTTTGACCTTATCTCTCTAAAGTACTAAAAGCGATTGTTATGTTTTTCCTCGTTTCGTTGTGGGGAGACTGTACAGCCGAGGCACAAAAAATCATTTATACTCCGATTTGAACATGCTATTTTTTTCAAACGCCTCAAATAATTTTTTAAATAATTTCAAACATTCCAAATAATATAAAAAGATTTAAAAGTTATAACCTGTGGTTATAACTTGTATGTAATTATTTATCGAGAAACTATGGTTACGCTCCTTGAATTTGACAGTTTATGTCAGTTTATACAAGGAAATTGGAATGCCCTGATGCCCGTCAAAATTTTGGGTCGCGAAATTGTTTTGTGTCGCGACCGTTGTATGCGATCTGGCGCTGCTATAGCGGCTGCTAAGAACAACCGCAAACTTGTCCATATCTCTTGTCAAAATTCACTAGATCTTCGTCTGTCATGTTAAGAAATGAAAGTAAACAATAAAGCGCCTCTCGTGTTTGTTCGCACTCAAAAAATTTCAATTAATGCCTGTATATATTTTTAATATATTTTTTAAATTTACATTTTTTAAATGTAAAGTAATATATTATATTTAAATGGAATATATTACATAACAATTATGTCAATTACAGGATTACAAGCTTGTTTTCTAACATTTTTTAAATAAAACGAATTATAAAATTTCAATATATGTATATTTGTCGTAGGTATGAAAAAAGTAAAATATAAAATGGACAAACGCTTACTTATTGCAATAAAACTTCCATTTTTAGTTTTGCAATCCAAACGCAATATTTCTATTTCACAAATAAAAATATCCGACAACACTAAAATCACTGAAACTTCCGCGGCTGACAACGAAAACTGAAAAATATAACGGCACTTTTTGTTTTGGACCTGCATATTAACATTACGGTGTACTATTATGTGTTTGTTGTTGAAATAATATAAAATACCTAATTATAACTTGTAAATTTTAATATTTTAACATGATTTTAACTACTTTTGAAAACAACTAACTTTTTGAAATCAAGATGACATTTTAGACGGCAACTGACATATATGTCATCATATTTGAATCTTAAATATGTATGTAATATAATTTAAATTACTATAATGCAACTTTATACTAAGAAAACATTTATACATTTACAAAATACAACAAAGTCTAATAATATAGTTTGATAACAATGAATATTGAATTAAAATTGAAGAAGTTAAGCGCGACCCCTTGTGTCAAAATTAGATGATTAAATTTTCGCAATTTTTACACCATTTGATGACCGGTGGCGCCTCTAGGGTTTGTTCGGGCGGTTGGGCTTTTACTCCCGCTTATGGCCATTAAAGAAAAAGTTCTAAAGGGGGATGTTTTGTGTCAAAATTATAACATCTTTCAAAATCTAAACCGCTGTCATTGAAAAAATTCCGAAAAATGTTTAAAACGTCCATTTTCAAAGTAATTATTGCTATCTTGTGAGTTTATTTAAGTTTTATTTACTCAAACCCGTGATAATTGTAAAAATGTGGCATTAAAAACTTAAAAAGCTGTGCTGTGAACTGTGATCTGCAAAAACCATCGTGGATCGTGGCATAACGTCGGTTTCCAATTTCTTGTATGCAACACACTGTATTTTATTTATAAAATTAAACAAAAATAATAATAAATTTGAATAAATAATATTTGGCGATATAATTCCGGAAAAAGCCGAACCGCTCCGAAATTTTCGGATAACGGGCAAAATAAAATATAAATTGCTAACTGTTGACAGGTTAAATTTTATATTTGCTATATTTTATATTATTACTAATTGCGCCCCCTCATGCGTCTAGTAATGGACTATTGGCTATAACCTGTCACTTCCATAAGAGTTTCCTAGGCATGTTTTAAAATGACTTTTTATATTGTCAATCACGTCATAAAAATTAATACTTTTGTGACGTTTGAAAAAAAATATATTTTTGTAGGAGCTGAACCACTGATAGAATACTTCGTGCCACGTAGCATGAGCGAGTTTGACTTGTCCATAGCAGCAGGGGATTCCCCGCCAGTGCCAAACTTTCTTCCTTTGACAGTCAGAGCTCCCAGAAAAATGAACAACGCTAACGCCAAACAAAAAGAGAAAATGGTCACCTTTGAAGACGAGATGGCTTCCAGATTAGGTAACACTATTAACGA